TATCGGCTTAAAACGGGGTTTTTGTAAAAATTGTTGAATTGGTCGTTTTTCAGATGAATAAAAAAAAATATTTGATTTTCCTATCGACAGGTGTGGCACAAAAATCGTTAAGTTTTAAATACCTAATGCTTAAATGTATCAAAGCTTAAAGTTTAAATAACTATCTAATTGTTCTCATATATATGTATATATAGTTTTTTGTCACAAGCTATCGAAAAATTCATTTGAAAAATCAAATTACAGGATAGTTAATCGTCCGATTAATTAGCCTGGTGAGCAACATGTGTGGCTATCGCTGAGTCTTCCCTAATCTAGGAATTATTAGGAATCTAGGAATTATTAAGTGAAAAGTTGAATGGTGTTCAATTACTTTTAATATCTCCTAAAACTATATATATGAATAATGAATATAATATTTAGACAAAAAAAAGAAATGAGGAAATCCAATTCTTGTCAATAAAGAAAATTTCCTACATTATTTGTATTTAAGAGTTAACCGAAGCAATTTTATACAAACCCCAAATAATTCATAATTCCCATCGTATTTTTAATTTTTTCATTTTTTATCCATTTTTTAAAAGGTTGCCTTAAATATTTTTGTATAAACATATCTTTTACTTAAGTTGCTTTTGTTTCTTCTACTTATACAACGCCTTCAAGTGTGCAATTAGATTCTTAGGCTGATTATAATTGCTCATTAAATGCTTAACAAACCCAAACGAAAAAGTATCCCGAAAAATTTCCAATTATCCCTTGAGGTTGCTTAATTAACGCAAATTTCTGGCTAAAAAAAAAAAACGAGCACGAAAGCCATTCGGAAAGGTCAAGAGAGCAAATGGCAAACGTTGTCTGACCTTTAAGCATATGAGAACGGGAAAAGATTCAGACACTAGCAGCCGGTTTATCCAAACTGAATAATTTATGTGGGCGTGGCTATTAAGAGAGGCGGCGCATGCCAACAATTTCACATCATCAAATGCCAAATGCATCATTTAATTTGAAATTATAAAAGAAAACAGAAAACATAAAATCCCACTAATAGAGAGGAGCCACAAAGCACAATAGCGATTATTTATGTGGCCAAAAGAGAAAGAAAAAAAAAGAGAGAGAGAGAGAGAGAGAGAGAGAAATAGACCATGAGACAAAAAGAGAAAGAACAGCGCCTGACAAACTGGCAGTCGCCCGTGTTGTTCTTGATAATAAAACAAAGTTTTAACGTCGAGTCTCCAAACTCCAGCATCATATTTCTCGTATCTTGTCTCTGGCTGCATTTTTATGAAATACGAGTTCATTTATATCCAAAGCCGTTGGGAATGGGCACGGAGCTTTGTGGAAAATGATGGCAACTCACCTGTAAAGAGAAAATGTAGCAGAAAACAAACATTAGAATAGGCAGTTAAGTATATTTGATTAAGGTTTTATGTCTGGGCCCATTGTCTGGCTAGCGAAAGGAGCCCAGGATGTGGCAATTAACGTTGTATAAATAATTGAAAACTGTTTGCATTCTTTATAGCCTTTCCCTGCTTTACCCATTCAAGACCAGATTTAAGTTGACTACGTTTTGCCGTTCAGCTCTCGAACCAACTGATTTAAAGGCGTCCATATTAAAAAATAATTATTTTACAGGATGGAATGATCTTTTAATAGATTCCTTGATTGCAAAATGTTACTCACTGGAACTACGATTAAATGACTGCTTGGGCAATTGATTGAAGGCCTTGGAAACTTGGCTAACTAAATGGCAGTCTGCTAACAAGAGTTAATAAGAAACGCACTAACTGCTGAAATTACTAAGCAACATACAGACTAAACTGTATAAACATTTCTACATTAGTTTCCTTTACGAATAAGAAAAATGTTCACAATATTTTCAACTAACTTGTTTTAATCCAATAGTAAATCAAAAATAATGCATTTTTTCGTTTTATCGAGACGAAGTTCTGGATAAAAATAAATAAGTTAAGCATATAAAAAGACGAAGTTCGAGTGTGAATAATACTAGACATTGCTCTGACAGCCGTAAAGGACATGCACATACTTTACATTCTTGATACATTTTTAAAGTCCATTCACAAATGCATCAGAGTCGGAGTCAAGAGCTTCTCAGCAGCCGGCTGACTTTACTGAGCTGACTAAAAAATATCTCATCATCAGTTGAATGCATATTTTATATATGCACAATTCTGTAAGGGAAACGAACGAATATTTGCACTAAAAGCATGATATCTTCTATATGCCAGCAAGGGTATTTCACATTCGGCATTCTCACAACTCTTTTTCTTTTGACATTTTTTTTTAGATGCCAATTATCATGGGCAGGTTTTTTTGCACTCATGTATTTAATGTTTGTTGCCAAGGCTGGTAAAATCTATTTGTGTCACGTTGCCAAGTGTTGCACCCTGCTCGAGCCAAGTTTTCAACTCACACACACACACAACACACTCACACACACTCTCGAGCGCGTGAAACAGTTTGGTTGTGCGAGCTGTTGCCAGTGGCGCAGCACAGGAAGGAAAGGAAGTTACGCCCCTCGCACACGTTGAATTATGAAAATTATAAACAAATTAGCCATACATCTAGGATTATGTAGTGTGGCCTTGTTGTTGAAATTGCATAAATTAGCGCCCCTCAAGTCGCAGAGCCTCAGCCAACCTCGCCCCTCACCCAATTGTAATCTGTGCTAAATCTGCTTGTAATATGTTTAAAATAATTAGAGCATTGGGTATTAGCGGTTATAATAGCCCCCAGCTAACTATTTCGAGTCAGCCAAGTCGGTTGGCTGGTTAAGTGTCTTAAACTGCGGCCCTGGACTGTGGATTAGCATAACAAATGCAAATTATGATAATGACATATCAAATTTACGCTTGTGTTAGCCCTGACATAATTCAGAAATTTTGCATAACATTAATTTGGAATAATAAATAAAACTATAGGATTTCGAAAGCATAGTACACTTTCTCTAATGCACTATACTTTAGGTATTTAATTGAAAACGATTTAAGAAAATAGTTGCCTACATTTAATTCCTTAATTCGACAAATAGCGTTTCTTGAATTCCACAATAAATTAATTTTTAATCAAAAATTGGTTTCAATAAAAAATCCACTCTACAAAATAAGATTCGTTGGCTCGGACTTAGCCCATATTTAAATATAAATCCCTTAATTCTCAAAAATGTTATTAAATAATAATTTATAGATCTCTTTAATCTCAGGCAAATAATATAGGATTTATTTTTATTTTTATTTATATTTACAAAAAAAGGTAAAGGAAATCAAAATAAATTACAAAAACCTTAATTTTCAAACTTTTAAATAGAAAATTACAAATTTTTTTTTTTTAATTTGTTTTTCAATTTGACTTGAGGTCTACAATTTCTGAAAGATTTGAGCCTGACAAATTTTTTTTAAAAGGTTTTTTGTTTTTTTTTCATCAATACAATTAATAATTTGGTTCATAGATAGTTTAAAATATTAAATTAAATCAATATAACTTTTATGTTCACACATAACAAAAATTAATAAAAGTATAAATATGTTTTTGAGAGAACTAAGATCAGAATATGCTGCGCTTCACACACGTTTTAACCAAATGTCATTTGCAGCCATTGAACACAGCGAACTGCCCACCCCGCAACGCCCACGTGACAGGTGCAATCACGTGCGTGTCTCGGCCAGCAGAGACCATTAAACCGAATGTTGCATCAACCTGGTAATTAAAGCCATGCGCGCCGCAAATGTCAGTTAGCTGCCAGCGGTAAAAGCAGGTAACGGTACCAGAACCATAGAAACAGCACTAGGAACAAGGACGTGCCAGCGGTCGAAGGCTTTGCTGGCCCCAAACTCCCTGCTCAACTGGACTCAACTCAGGGTGACATGTGTGTGTGTGTGTGTGTGTGTGTGTGTGCGCGCTAGTTAACGCTGTTGTTGCCTGCCTCTGGGACCTGCAGCTGCTGATTGCGCTACGTGGCCATAACCGGACCACGGCACAAGCTGTGGCACGCATAAAATGGCGACGTCTTGCTGCATTTCATTTACTGCATCGGCTACGCCAACTGCAACTGCAACTGCAACGGCAACGGCAATGGCAACGGCAATAGCAATGGCCCTGGCAATGGCGATTTCAACTGCATTCCGTATTGTGCATTGTGAATTGTGCACGTGCATTGTGAATTGGGCATTGTGCATGTGCATTAGCGAGCACAACACAGGGCGACGCCCAAAGAACGTCCGCCCGTTGGGTTCGCCCAACGCAACAGAGAGCTTCACTGTGCGCACTCTGGTGCAAAAGATGCATTTACTTGCGAAAAGTTAACATTTTAAATAATATTTTGTATAAAAATGTTTAATTTTGAATTTTATTAACAAAAAACATGAATAAGATATATATATTTGTTTTAACTCGGAACGGCAAGCAAGGGTGTTTAATATATATATATACATATATATTCCATCAAGTCTTCTGCTTTTTCTCATAGAGCAACTAATCCAATATTGATTCGATATTGTTTCTATGTAGGTAGCATTAAGTGACTAAGAAATACTTTAAACTGATAAATCATCTAAAATCGGTTATTTGGAATAAGTTCGTACGGAACTAGATCACACCTCGTTTCCCCAAGCGACTCATTTGAGATTTAATTGTCGTGATATTGGCAATAAATAAGATTGATGACTAAAGTCTGACATTGGTGTCCTCCATGTTTAAACTGAAGAACTTGTCTTTTAATCGATCATTTCTATAAAAGCTTCATGAGATAGCAGTCCGAAATAGACATTTTTCGATATGCTGAACTAGAAGCAGGAATACCAGCAGACTGAACAAAATATTATTTAATCAAAGCACTTAAAACACACCATAATTAAATAAAAAAGTGCCTTCACTAACTAAGCGATATTTATATACTGCATTATATATTTGATAAGAAATAAAAAATGTGTAATCAAGAGCTTAGCCTATGTGATTTGCGCTTAATTTAAAACAGTTTTGAATCATTTGCCTAGATCGGCGGATCGAACTATGAATTTTACGACATGTTTAGTAAAATTCAACATAAAATGCATTATTTTTTTAATATTTGCACTAGTCCAAATGTGTTATGGCAGCGATAAAGCTGAAAGCTTGGTAAGTTTAGTTTGAGTTTTAATGGAAAGTCTATTAATAGCATTTTACAGAGCTGCGCTGCAATTCAGGAGTTGGACAGGCAGTGTGAGACGCATTGTTACCGCGTAGTAAAGCCGCTCCTACAACGCGCATCAGACGCTTATTTGAAAGAACAAGAATTTTCAAAATTACAGACACAAGTTCATGAGAAAGAGATCATAATCAAGAACATGGAAAAGGAGCAAGCCATTCTACAAGCTAAATTCAAAGCTCAAAATGTCTTATTACTTTCACACAAAGATAATTTAGCATCTAAAGATGCCCTGATCGAACATCTGAATGCTGATTTGAAAGAATTACTACAAACTAAAATCCAACAAGCTGCACAAATTACAGACTGTAAATCGGCAACTACTATAAGGATTAAAGAACTGGAAGGGAAGCTTACAAAATGTAGCTTTGAGTCTAGAGTTTCCAGTTGTTTGGCCAATAAAACCGAAGTGCAAGAGACTAAGGTTTACGATATTAAAACCTTTCCAGCGCCTTGCGATTCCGACTTGGCAGGACCTGGTTGGACCGTTATCCAGAGACGTAAGGATGGCAGCGTAAACTTTAATCGGAGCTGGAACGATTATCGTCTAGGATTCGGCGATCCGCAAGGAGAATTCTTTCTGGGACTCGAAAAGCTGCACCTGCTTACAAATGCCCAACCGCACGAGCTCTTTATATATCTGAAGACCTTTAAAAACGAAATAATTAACGCTCGCTATGATCATATTCTTATAGGCGATGAAAGTGAATCGTTTCAAATGAAGTCCCTGGGAAAATATACTGGGACTGCTGGCAATTCCCTGTCAGATCATAATGGCATGAAGTTCAGTACAATTGATCGCGATAATGATATCTCGGAGTTTAATTGTGCTTCTGAGTGGTCGTCCGGTTGGTGGTTTCGCAAATGTCTCGTCTGGTAAGAAAAAGCTTAGACCTAGTTTAGTTCAATTTATGATTCATTTTAATTTGTTCGATTTTTCTAGTAATCTGAATGGTTTGTATGGAGATACCTATAATAATTCTGAAATCAAATGGCATGACTCTAAAGTTAAGAAAAAAGCAATTTTTGTACAAATGATGATTCGACCAAAAACCACATAAAATGTCATAAAAACGAAATGCTACAATCAATTATACTTTTGCCTTTTGGGTAAATAAATAATAAAAATAAAGGAATAAACTGTTCAAATAATAAAGAAAAACAATAAAGAAAGGACATCTGAGCTCTATTGTAGTTCTATTATTACCAGAATTTAATTAATTAGAAATTAATTTGAATTTTCTTTGGGTCTTGGAATAATTAAACTGGAAGAAAAATTCGCAACTTCTGCTATATTTTTAAATTAAGAAACATAATTTGTTTAACAAATAATGCTTGAAGGATGACTTAATCCAATATTTAAAAATAAACGATTTAACTATTTTTACCAACTATTTATAGTTGGAAAAAATATAAAAAATAAAATTTTAAGGAGCAGATAAAATTGAAATATGCATTTAGAATGAAATATTATATCCAGATTACGTTTTTTAATGTTTTTTTTTCTGGGTGACTTTTTACGTGACATTAAGCTTGGGACTGAGATTAAACTCTGTTAACTCTTAAAGTTAAACCACTGTGCACGGGGCAGCTGCTGTACTCAACTTCCGGTATGTGCGCATTGTACACATATATACATATACACTGAACAATCCGGCAACCTGCTCAACATGTTAATGTGCCAGGCGTCCAGCAATGAATCCCCCACAGCCGCTTGACTTCTATTAGTGGGCTGAGTGTGTATTGTGGGCAGTTATGCAAGTGTGAGTTGAATACGGGAGAGTTCGGCTACGTGCAGTCTCCAAAATTGCCGGTCAGTACCACAGTCCGCACACACACACACACACGCAGTTGCAGTGGCTGTTACGGATGCTGTTCCCTTCGCTTTTCTCAAACGTTCATTTTTGCATTCTTCGCTGTCAGCTGCTCTTTGTGTTCCGTCTTTTTTTTTTCTTTCTGTTATTTTATTGTACTTTATTTTTTTTTCTTCTGCTGCTATTTCTATTTGATTTTATTGCTTTTGTCTTGCTATATGTGTACATATATTCGTTCGAGTGGGTTTTTTTTCTGCTTGTTTTTTATGACTTCTAGGGATTGAGTCCATTTCTTTTTGCTATTCTCTGTTTCTGGCAGATGATTTGACTGGGGTAATAATAAAATATCAAGTAGCGTCCAGTCCGAGGAAGATGATAGCTTTTTAGATATGTGTTTTTATATTTAATTATATAATCAATTTATACATATATTTTTATCATTTAATAAACAAATTTCATAATATATTATTTTTTAGATATTAAAGTGTGTCTTGGGTGTTTCTCGATGAGCTTTACTCTTGATAAAATAAAATACTATATATAATAGAATTTTATCTTATCACATATGCATTCACAGGGTAACCCTTAGTCGAAAATAGCTAAAATATCTAGCTCAATTTGTATATTTTTTATAATTTCCCAGCGAACTTCCAGTTGCAACCAGTTACTCGCTGGTAAAAGCCACTGAATTGGGATTTCTTATCAGTTTAATGCGCTTCGAGAGACTCGATAATATGTGCTGCTATCAGTAAAATAGAAGCCAGTCAGACGTTAAGAAATTTGAAATTCGTATTAAACTAACGAACCAAGCAAATATTGTCTATACAATTTTGAATGTCTGGCCTTTTGAGTTGCAAACAATATTTTTAACAATGCCTTTCAATAATAAGTATGTCAAATATTTTTCTAAAGAAAGTTGACATTGCATACATTTGTACATTTGTCTATCAGTAATTAAGCTGAGTACTGAAAAGATTAAAGTCTTCTCACATAATAAACGTCAGTTTATTATATTGCAGTATTTAGATACATATATTCTATTATTTACATTTTTAGATAAGGAAATGACTTTCACAAACTTTGAGATAAAAAAAAAACCCTAAAATAAGTCAGTTAATTGCTATTTAGTTATCTTTACTAATCTTAGGCTTTAATATATAAGAGAATATTTCTAAAATTCCTAAATATATACATAAAATCATAATTTTGTTAGCAACAGAGACGAGCTTCTGCTTCAGAGGAACAATAATATATCTACAGGTTATTCATTTTCTTAATGTTTTTAAAATCGAATAAAAATCCGTTTGAATTTTTTTTTTACTATTACCAAGCAAAAATCAAATATACCAATTTAAAACATATTTATTTAGGCTATGTAGATCTGTTTTCTGTGCAAATCGGGAATACCATTCAATCAAGGACACCTTTTTTTTTTCTTAACGATAGTTCGCAAAAATAAGAGTACATTTCTTTCAGCCCTTGACTGATAAGAATTACTTTTCAATTACAAGTAATTTTCCAGTAAACAAACAACGCATTCAATGCTCAAGAGTTCCAGGGAAAAACAAGCACATTATCGGATTTAGTATTCGCATCCGCTTGCAAACTTGACATTTGAACTGCAGTTCCAAATAAAACGAAGAAAACAAAATAAACAAAACACATGTCAAAGGCCCTAATTAATCGAGTTCATTGCCTGACCAGCAAAAAAAAAAAAAAAGCTTGTCAAGCAAATGTAAAAAGAGAGAAAAAGGTTTACAAAAATCAAAAGGTGCAAATAAAGCATCAAGACCGAATGAAGTTGACGCTGATGACCTTCGCTTAAGGTTCAGTGCCGGCAGCGATTTATGCAACCCGGCAGGGTGTCAGAGAGAGAGTCCCGCAAAAGCCTCGTAACTGACACCCTGCGAAACCCAACAGCGCCCCAAGCCGCCCACCCGTGCCTAGTTCCAGCCACTACCCAGTGCGCCTGCCAGTCATGCAAATGACAGGTAATTGACCTCATAAGGCACACAGTCCAAGCGGGAGAGAAAGAGAGGGTGCGAGCGAGTGGCAGCTAAGTGTGCGATAGATGCAACAATTTTTACTTTCCATGTGTTATTTGATGTATGTGCAAGTCGAGTACGCTCCACTCCCCTTCCCATTCCCGTTTTCTCCTCTTAAATGTGAGTTGTGTGTTGTTCTTTGTACGTTTTACTTTATATATTTTTTTACACTCTACCAGAGGGTAAAGTGAGGTAAAGTTCACAATAAAAAAAATGAATATAGAATTTTAACTAATTTCCCAGTCGAGTTACATAATTAACATATGACATCGATTACTCCGCTTATGATAGTTATTGCACATGTCAATATCGGAAAAGTCGGACTATTATGTGATAATGTTACAATAGCTAGGACTATAACTATTATATAAAATAATTTCTAAGATAGTTGAGTGTAATTCGCTCAGAGCCAAACAAAATAAACTAAACAGTTATAAATTTAATCGAACTACTTTCTATATGATATTGCTTTTCTCTTTGTTGCAAAAGAAATTTTTTAAAGAAACTTCGTCTTTTGCAAATGCTTTGTGCCTGAAAGGGCATTTAATCGTCGGCAAGTGCACAACAGCTAGGTAATATTTGTTACTTTTATTTTTGCTCGTTTGTTTTTTTTTTCGCCCATTTAAGTATAATTTTGTAATTTTTTTTTAGACATTTGTCACGTTGCTTTGTACGTGAAATTCTAAAATGTTAATGTGCCAGACGAGCGGCAACTTATTCTGGTTCCGCTGGGTCGCTTTAAGTGCGTTCTTATATCTGAAGCAGGCCTTAATGTGTAGCTCACATTGGGAAATGTGTTGTGTGTGGGAGTGTGTATGTGTGTGTGGGTGTGCTCGAGTGCGTTTGTGCCTACAACTTCTGCTTACATTTTCCATATGTGTGTTCCGTTTTCGGTGTGGGTAAACGAGCAATTGCGATTAATTGCATTTGATAAAATGCCATTAAAAATTTTATAACAGAAAGTTGCAACTTGTTGTCTTCCAACAAATCTCCCAATTCAGAGCCCTTCCACTTAAGTGTCATTTTTTCTTCTTTTTTTCTAATTTGCACAAAAATGTTTAAAAAAAAAAATCAACATCAAATTACGTGGGCAACTTTAAAGCACACTCAAGTTTTCTAATGTGAGCTAAGTTTGTAAGAAAATTTCGAAAGTATCATTCATTTTATCTCGATTGAATGTGAGTGTTGTAAAACAATTCACATTAAAAAAAAAAAAAAAAAACAGTGTCATATCTTTTGAGCAACCACTGTGTAAGTGTTATACAACAGCTTATTCTTGACATATGTAAATGTAGCTATTTTACAACCCATCATAGTACAGTAAGAAATCTGTTTATCGAATATCGTCTGTCAACTGGAATTTCCGTCTAATGGGGGCGGCACTCCGGGTGAGATGGGGGAAGCAGCCGTTAGGAGATGTACATATCCATGAGTGTGTGTAATTCGAAAATTTCTCAACATTTCCGATTCATTTGGCATTCAACAAATGTGCCAAGAAATTGTGATATATTTCAACAGCTTAAAGAAGAAGAGGAAGCATGCAAACTAAATCCAATCGCCATGAATTTATGAATTTGATGCGTGTTTATCAGCAAAACATGCCGCTGGGCCCAGTCCGAGTAACAACACGAGCTAGCATAACAGTGCCAACAACAATGGGAATAATCGCAGCTACAACAACAAATGTGCGTGATAGAACGCGCAGGCAAGTCGAGTCCAAGCTCAGCCAAGGCACAAAGAAGGAGGAAGAAAGCGTGAGTAAGAGCGTGAGTGGGAGCGTGAGTTAGAGTGAGCGCGATAGTGGTAGCTTCAGCAAGAGCCCCTAGCGCGTGTGAGAGCGTAAATTAGAGAGCGAGCGTTAGCCTGAGATACGAGCAAGCACAAACGCAAGCGTGTGTTTTTCTGATGTGAAGCTCAGAAGCGAACAAGAGCAAACGAGGCGTGAAAATCACAAACAAATCGTGAAAAGCGCAACAAGAAGAAACGAGACAACGTGCAAAGTTGTGTGGAACACAAACACACACACACATATGCATAGACATATACAAATGTATATGCAAATCAAGCGAAACAAAAGCGTACGCTGAAGAACGGATTACGAGAGAGGCGGGAGACAAATGATTCATGGTCGTGTTTATCAACAAACACGTTTCATGAGTTGCCTCAGCTGCGCCCAGCTGCCAAAAGGAAGCCAAATGCTGGCCATGCAACGGCACACACACTCACGCGCACACACAGAAGCCGAAACCAACTCTGCAATTTCACGATGCACGCACACACACTCGTACACCCCAATACATATAGAACACATACATATGTCATATGTACGAGTGGGCCTCGACGTTGGGCAAGTGCAGTGGAACTTGACACATGTTTCAAATGTCATTTCGTTTTGTCATACATAAATATCACGCATTTTCCTATATATGTACATATGTATGTACCCTGACAAACACAGATGCATAAGTGTATACATACAAACACATGAGTGTTCATCCAGAAATATATAGCAGTCGCTAATCAAATGCAGCTGACGTTGTTTGAACTGTAGCCGAGCCCACTGCAGCCTCAATTCGTGCGTTGTCGTCATTTGCTGAGCGAGTTTTTAGAGTGGACCTTATTACAGGGACTAAAAATTGTTTACAATTTTATTAATTTACAACTTTGTTAATTTGTAAGTTGCAACACATTTTGGACACATAATTTTCACTGATTCACTTTGAAATTTTAAGTGTTAACATGAAATTATATTTAATCGCCGTTCGCTGTATCTAAAATATGAGTTTGTTATTTGTGAAAAAAAAAATACAAATTATTATTAAATTTACACACACAAGAAACTTTCAGTGACAATCTCTTAACACTATTAAACTGTATTCAGTTATGAACTAAAGACCATCGTAAAATGAACAAATTTTCAAGTTCATGCTTTCGAGTTTAGAGGCCACACATGGTTCACCCTGTGATTTTTTAACACTCAGTGCTGGGCCTGTTCACTCTGTTTATGAGTCATTTGGGCAAAGTTGCAACGGCACAAACTGGTTGGAGTTAACCGAAACGCAAACACACTCGCAGCTGTGTGTCGTGTGGGGCACTCGGGGAGTTAAGTCTCAAGTAATTCATATGAATTTTATATGCAATTGCATCAATCTCAATTATAGAACGCCCGAGGGCTCCAACGCCCAGTGCAGTTCCCTTTCCTGATATTGTGTGACATGCAATATTAATAATGGTTTTTATTTAGGTAATTGCTTTGCATCTCAAACTCAAAATGCGGCAGTCTCATTCGGGGCAGGTGAGCTTGTCTCTTATATGCATGCAGTTGCCAACAAATTTGCATCCTCGACTCGTACAGAAATTGGCAACACTTAACGAGCCAGTCAAAGTTCAATGGCCACAAGCTGAAGGACAAGTTTGGGTCACTTGCTAATACAATATAAAAATAAAAATAAATAAAAAACACCAAAAGGTTAAAGAAAGAAGCGAATATACAGATAAGAAATTTAGAAAAACGAACCAGCATAAAACGTATCTCCTGCTGCTGCTGCTGCTGCTGCTGCTGTGCGGGCGACCATAGATAGATTGGCTACGATGCTTATCAGCCAGCTGCAGCAGATGCTAGTCAGAAATTCATCAATTAAGACGATACAGTAGTGAGAGACAGATATAGTGAGGGATAAAGAGAGAGACAGAGAGAAAGAAAGAGAGAGAGATAGACAGAGAGCCTGGCTCAATGGCTTTGAGTTGATTGGAAGGTTGAACAACGTCAAAGACAAGAAAAATCAATTTAAATGATTACGAATTGAAGGAGACAAATAGTCAGCAGCAGCAGCAGCAGCAGCAGCAGCAACAGCAAAAGCAGCAGTAGGCAGGCTAAAGACAACGACACAGCGGGGGATAAGTCATAAAAACGACTTACTGTAGGGAGCGTACACTGAAGAAATCCTTCAAATAAATGCTTAAATTAATAAATAAGTATAAAATATATATTTGCACGACGAATTGATCCAAGAAGTGGTTAAATATACCTTATGTAAACACATAATTGTGTGAGTTTTGACAATTTTTTATATATTTTTTTAAGTAATTCTTGAATAATAAATTTCATGGAGCTGTCTAATAAAAAATTGTTACACCTAGTGAAAATGATATATGAATCTTTTTAATTATGGCATCGTTTTTTGGTACCATTAAAAGTAAACATTGAAAAATACATTTTTTTTTCTCTAATAGTCATTCTCTATGAATATTAATATACTTTTTAGCGACAGTCAAAAGTATTTAAATCGATAAGAATTATATTGTTTATTAAACGAAATACAAAATATTGCGTTGGCTGAAAGTACTTATAAAGATAATAAGAACTTTACAATATTACCAAGATGAATATTTTATAAGTTCATACCTATTTTGTACTGTGTAATTGCTTTGCTCAGCATAAAACAAAACTAAAATCCGCATATGGAATGCGCCCAGCCCGAACACACGGGATCCAAACAGACAAACAAATTTTAATTTCTCCTATACGCTCACTACAAAAAAAAAAAAAAAAAAAAAGAGAGGAAGAAACACCTAGTAACAGCCCCCAACCCCCAACATATTGCCATGTCTCAATTCTCGTGGTGACTGACTCAACTGTTCGACACTCGCTTCATCTTTATTTCATGTTCCAGACTTAATTTTGCCTTTTTTCCAATTTCAGTTGTTGTCACAACTGGCAGCAAACGATTCGTACTCGTCGTCAAGAAATGACAATGAACGAAGTTCCAACAAGAACTCTTTCAAAAAAACAAAAAAAAAAAAAGTAAAAGAAGAGTAATCCTTGACTCCTACATCTGACACTTTGAGTATTTGCGCCCTGAACCCCTCGCCCGTCGCCCCTTGCTGTCCCCTACCACAACGGCAACATTTCTGCTACTACAAAGACGATGAGAAATTCGCTGCGATGCGCTACAATATTTTTGTCGGTCATATCGATTTTTTGGTCTTTCCCTTTACTTTAACCATGTTGCGATTTTCTTGGTCTGGTGTATGGTAGGAATTTTGATGTATTATGTTATTAGAAACGAGCAGCTAGTGCTCAGTTCTTCACTTCCCAATTTATTGCATTACAATTTGCATGCATAAACAATGTATTAAATTCAATGTAAAGTCGAATTTATACTTGTTTGAAAAAGTTCAAAATAAGTAAATAACAAATATGAAATTATGAGAATACAAATTTGAAATATTTTTTGGTTTTCTGATATTACAATGTGATTGTAACTGGATTAAATAATAATAAAAATAAAATTATTTAAAGGTCCTGGACACAAAGAATTTACAGGTATTTATAAACTATACAATAAGTAAAGTATGTGCTTTTTAAAACCATATTTTGTACTAAGTATAACTTGATATGGTGTTTAAGTAAAAGATAATAAACCTCAACAAAGTGTAATTAGACTTCGGTATTATACAAAACGCTTAATACTTTTTATGCTGTGGGTAGCGCTCTACCTCTGAATTAAAAATGTAGGGCGTCTTGAATAATAGATTTTTAGCTTTTGATTGCATTTGGTGAAAACATTTTGCGCTCTTCACCAGACCCAAAACAACATAAAACAAAAGAAAAAGCGACTAAAACGAATTCATGAACTGGCGACAAAAATTAAATTCTATGGATTCGAAACGCAAATTGAAATTGCAGAGGCATTAACGTGACTTTTGTAGGTGTTTTCATTTGACTTTTCCAATTTTTATTGGCTTTGCAGGACAAATTGGAATGGCAAACGAAAAGACCGACATCGTAAATGGCTTAAAATTAGTACACTTGAAAATAAAGAGAAGGTCCAAATCAAATCAAAAAATCCGAACCGACACCGACTCTCATATTCAAGTAAAATTAACAAATAATAAAAATATACTTAGAATACAAATAAATATAATTATTTGTGATTTTGGTATCTGTTTAGCAACATTTTATGCGCGCACATCTTTAACCACAAACTCATTTCACGCACAATTCAACATTAATAAAAGCAAAAAAAATTGTGTTCTCGGTAATTATGTTGCTTTCACTACACGAGACCTCATATCCGCTTGAGAGATGGGACAGGGGAATGCTCGAGACTGCCTCCAAGCATTATCACACAAGCTGCTAATATAAACATTACAAGCAGCAGACACACCCAAATACAAAACGCACAAGAACACGCTGCTTAATTATCAAAGAAAATCCCACACAAAAAAATATATATATTTGAGGCTAATGAACGCTAGACGAGGATCATTCAAACGAGGATTAATATTAAAATATAGTAATAAATGAACACTGGAAAAATAGGTTGACAAAAGATATTTTTGAATTATCTTTCGAAAGTGTTCAATATGATTTACATTATAAAAAAAATTATATTAGTAACAATATATTTTTTATTACATTATTTACATATCGATCGAAGCACGATCACAGGATCAAACATCTTGAATTGAAACTCTCAGAGCGATACCTGTAATCTCTATCTGCCTAGGAAAACCAAGTGAAGTTTATCCGATGAAGCTACCCGATATGGATCCATTCTCCCTGTTCTGTGACTTGAAGCTCGCCGGAAGGGCGTGAATTGTTATTCAACGCCGTATTAATGGCAGTGTGAACTTTAACCGAGGCTGGGATGATTACATGGCAGGTTTTGAGGACTTACGTGGCGAGTTCTTTATCGGACTAGAGAAACTTCATAAACTGACCCAATCGCAACCTCACGAGTTATATATATATCTGGAGGACTTTCAAAATCAAACCCGTTATGCTCGATACAATAACTTTGTTATTGGCAACGAGGCAGAGTTATTTAAGATTAAAATGCTTGGAGATTTTACCGGAAATGTTGCTGATTCCCTTAAGTATCAGGTACACCAAAATTTTTCAACGTCAGATCGGAATAATGATATTTCTAATACAAACTGTGCTCTAGCTTACGAGTCTGGATGGTGGTTTCATAACTGGTAATTTAATTCAATGTTAGGACCAGTTTTACTTATCATCTTTTATTTATTTTTGAAAATTTCTTGGAGTAGTTGAAGCCACTTAAATTTACTCAAATCTTTTTTATATTTAGGGTGTTTTCTTTTATTTTGAAATATATTACTATTTTCTAAATGTTACAACATCAATCGCATTTAATAAATACGCTTCGACTTGTGACCCGAAACGAAAAGCAAAATCTAATGCTGTGTCATAGGTAATTGTTTAATAGCTCGTCCAGCAATTGCTCCATTAACGTTTTAGACATTGATAAGAATTTAGGAAATTAAAAATACGAGCTTTCTTTGTTGCTATTATTCTTGCCAGTTATTCGGCAGTTGTAAATCTTATTTTAACTATTAAAGTGGAAAAAATAAAAATTATACTCACACAAGCGACTTAGTTGCATTAAAGTTTCGGTTAGCTGTTGAATCATAAAATAGTAGTAATAGTAAATGATTGCCTTGTAAAATTGACGAATATATCAAACAAATATTTTGTTTTGGGTTCGTTGTTCGTGCTCATCTGTTTGCTTTGTTTCGGTCCGTTGAAGCGTTCGATGTTCGTTGCACCACGTTGCATGTTATTAACCCCGGATGACAATGCATAATTTTGGATAAATGCTGGCTAACTTTAAGATACGTTCGGAATGTGCAGAAATTCGCTTTTTTTTTAAGTTAAGAATTCGGTTGTTCATTACAAACTTATACGCTTGATTATGTGCTTCATTAACTATTAAAAAATATAACAAGAAGTAGACTAAGTGCTCGACTGTTTAAAATAATATTTTAAATATTTCTTCCCTGTTTGCATTAATTTAATTAATCATGTGTTTTCTTTGCACTTAAAAAGTTTGAATTAATTTCCTTTCCTGTATAGATATATTTTTCAATAAAATACTATTTTGGATTATAGCAAAAAGTGTTAAGCATTATAAATAATTAGATTTATTCAAACAAAACAATCTAAGCAACAAATATGAAAAGGAACAACCAAAAAGAAATTGCCAAACAATTAGTTAACATAAGAATAGATGCTGCAAGCAATAAAACGCAATAAAAAATGCAATTGACATGGCAAAATAGAAAGCCATTTATGTTAGTACCAAGGAAGACGAAACAATACAGAAAGACCAGGATTCTGGAAGGTTATCAGGCAATCAATGCCAAGAGCAAAATTTTGTGCCAAGCAAATTTTTAGTGATTTAAAAAAAAATCATAAACAAAGTGGATTACAATCTTAGTATATACAACAGACACTAGTTAGGACCTGCCGCTAGACAATGGCAAACAGCGCAGCAACAGCAAAAGGACTCGCATATTTTCAAGGATATTAAACGCAAGTTTATCAGCAAACAAAATGCATGCCACACGCAGCTTGTTTTTCAGCTCTAGTCACCGTTGCAGTTGCTGTGTCGCGTATCCGGCTAAAAGGCAACGGATATGAATATGCCCGAGGGCTATCAGACAGCGTAAATGAGCGTGTATTGTAGATAGAAATTGCTTCGAAGATACACAAGCACACACGAATACACAAAAAGCACGGCACAAGCAGCGCTCAAAAGACAAACAAAACGTGGCTAAATGGCAGCTCTCCACATTCCCTTCGGTCCAATCCATGATAGCCACAGCGTCTGCTTTGCCACTGATACGGGCAAATCTGTTTGGGCGTTAAAAGTACAAACTTCTTCACAGACACCCCCCACAAACCCCCCTCACCCTGCTTGGAAAACACAAACACACACACACACATACCCACAGCAGAGCAAAGTTTTTCCAGAGCTGTTGCTTGGTATTTGTGCTGAATCATGATGACAAGTATTGATGCAATGATGATGTTCTTGCATTTGCACTGTTTCACAACTCCAGCGTGACTATTGAATTTTAACAATTTCCAAAGAAAATATTGTCGAAGGTTCTCTATAAGGTCTGAAAGTAGCCCGTGTTTAAAATTATAGAATAGCGAGAACTTAAGGATCATACTTTCAAGCTATATAAAGAAATTTGTTTTTATTTCTGGCATTCCTTTTTATTATTTCCTGTCTCAATTTTTTCCCTATAGAAAAGTCTATTCGTTTTCTTTTTTCTTGTCAATTTCCACTTTACTGTTCTTTCTCTTAATATCTTCAGAATTTTCTGTCTTTTTCAGGTTTTCCCTCCCTTAATAATTATTGGGAATTATAAGCGCACGCCATGCAAAAATTATCTGAAATCTAAGTATACATTAATATTTAATATCTCGCTATAAATAAAATTGTATAAATCTGTATTCATCACTTTCAGGAACAACCATAGCCACAACTAGTCCAGAATTTTCAATACTCCCAGTATTCTTTATAAACATAAGAGTTTTATAGCGTATAGGGTTAAAACCCAATGTCCCGAGGGAGGGTCACAGTAGCACCTTACCTATAAATCGGTCTGGCAATCGAATTCGAATGACTTTCATTTATCTGTGGGCTGGGAGCTGGCTGTAACCATTTCTTCCGCTTCATATTACAAATCTACGCTTGATGCGATTATGGGCGGGAGACAGAAACAAAAACAAGAGAGTGAAGTGAATCCGTGTGCCCTCAAGCGGTACAAGCACTGATATATTGTATCATAAAACAAAAAGAAGAAAAAGTAAAGTGCAGACTATCGGTACAGGTAGGGGGGAGGTCAGGCCACGACCAGTTAATAGCATTGCTCGTCTACGCCCACGCAATCAGTGGAAACATTTTTTACGTTTGTCGAGATACTTTTTAACCCATGCAGAAACACATAAAGACAGCGAAACATGGTTATGCAGTTGGCCAACTTGTGATGCTGCCAAAGGGCAAAACAACATTTCGCTGCGGCTCTGCAGACTACCAAAGTCTGCGTTTTTGGGTTTAGCACTGAACCATTCCATGTTCAGATGGGTTGCGGTTCGCTGCTCTCACACTATTATGTGTCAAAATTACTCAAATGGAATGGGGAAAGTGCTTATGTAAGATCTTACCCATAGATCTGTGTACAATATATCAAAAATTATTTGTAATATTTGTAGTATAATTATTATTATTATTATTTGCTAATATTATTTAATAGACATTATTTAAAATGTATATTTTTCCGCATAACCCAAAAATGTGGAATTTCACCTATTTTCCACGCCTATGAGTGGAATTTATAAGCCTTATTTAACAATAAAAATATAAAAGTTTAATACGTAATTCATATTCTGAAATGCAAATATATATGCCTTAATAAGAATCTTCAAAAATGTTTACATACCAAACTGGCCGTCTTAAGTCCCGTAGCCCTTGAATCCACTTCATGTGAAACAAAATAAGCTAACTTTAGCAGATACAGGCAATTTTGGGCAACATTTTGGGCCACTGCCCACATAGTTTTCAAGTTAAAGCCTCAGAAAAACAAGTGGGTGGCCAAAAGTTTACCGATTTAACCAATTTTCAGCAGAAGCCAAAGCAGCCCACAAAAACCATTACATTGACCGCAACGGGACAGGAACAACAAACAGCAGCAGCAGCAGCAGCTGCTGGCTGTGAACGTTGAAACTGAAGCTGAGGCTGAGCCAGTTCCGGAGGCGTGACTACAGTTAAACCAGTTCAATGTACAGCGTGCTGGCCAAGTAAAAACTCATCAAACTATATTTTCAATAAATAATGACAGTGAACTGCCGAGGCGGTATGGGCCGGTTGGAGTTGGCCTCAGTGCCGGCCATTTTGCTTCTGCCAACAGCTTCATTGATTTTGTGCCATTGTAGGCAGGCAGCTACTCGAAGCAGGCGGGCAGGCGCGACAGTGAATCATAAAATAAATATTAAAAAAGCTAACGAAAACAAACCCAAGCCAAAAATGCGCGCGTACATACTCTTATGTATATTCCTCTGTGTTACAGTATGTGTGTGTATGTGTGTGTGAGTGTGCTGCCACGCCCAGTTACCACGCCGTGCAGTATGCATTGAGCATTTGCATGTGTGGCAACAACTTTGGCAGCACCAGCTCCTGCTTTACCCCACCAGGCCCGCTTCAATTGAAGCCAGCCAGACGACAGACGGACAAGTCAACAACGCAACCTGCATGGACTAGCGGGAATTACAAACGGTTGAGACGATTGCACAGTTGACCCTAACAACACAGTGGGACCAAGCTAAGTGAACATGACATAAATAAATAGATAAAGTTCCTTAAAAAAAAAGATTTACTCATTTTTCAAGGCTGTAATTATTATTAATCTATAAACTAAATAAATATCATAAGCTTTAATTTAGTTCACTTTCATGTAAGGATTTTTATACTAACTATAAATTTTTTGTTCGGCTTATAAATGTTTCCCATTTCTTATATACCAACTAGCTAGTTAAAATTTTAATTAGACTAATCTCCCACTGTACCGAATTTTTTTTTTAATTTTTGTCGGCACATACGTGTAATAAATTGCACTACAGGGAGCATTCGCAGCCTGGTTGGGGGAAGTGCCGGCGTGTGAATGGTCCAAGAGCGCAGTAAAAGCTGCACATGGAGCTTTTCCGGCCAACATTTAGCGGTCTTTCGGCATTTTCGGCTAGTTTATGGGCCCGGCCCAAGACCGTACCCAAAGCCCCAAACACACAGCTGCAATTTGTTGGCAGGCAATAGGATGCTTGTATCTATTTTAGCATAGCCTGACTTTTTGTTGGCTTTGTTTTTCTTTCTTTTTTTTTTTTTTTTGCTACAAGTTATACGAATTATGGCAATAATTTATGTTATACTTATATAATTTATACATTCACAACAATTTATGAATTTGTTTATATTAGTAAAAGTGATGAAGCAAAAAGGCTTTGGGCTCTGTCAAAAAGGATGCTCGAAAGAAATGTTTATTATTAGCATTATTAGAAGACTTTATGCGTAGTCCGACATTCACATATTTCTCCTTTTTTTAAACCTTTTACCATTTCTCATTGCGCTCTTAAGCGCATTTAATATTTGAGTTACGAGTTTCTGCTTTATACAGAGACCGGCACCGCCCGCAAGACTACCCAGTCTTACTTTTGAGTATGTTTGCTTGACAAATTTATGGTTAAGTGAGTGCACACAAGTGCCTTTTTAGGAGTAGGGGTAGAGGGAACTTGCGGGAGGTTTGCCATTAAATTGCATTGATAGTCGTAATGTGTCTGGCACAAGCTCGTTGCTTACCTCTTTCAACTCCGGAAATATCTTTTGCGTAGCCTGCAAGTAGAAAGAAAAACACAACTTTTTAGTAAAACAAAATAATATTTATGGTATTTTTTAATATTTAGCAAAATGTTAAACGGCACAAACAAAAATGCAAATCATAAAGGTCAAAGCCCATGTTCAAGCAGCCCCACCCAACCAGGACCAGAAAAAAAAAGGGACTACCCGACCTCACCTTGTGCGGCCGTCAGGACTCAAGAGTTTTGGGCGCACAAAACCTAAAGTATTCAAATTAAAAACCACTTCAGTGAGTAAACTGCAGCCGGGAAAAATGTTTCCTTCACGACAGTAAAAAAAAAAAACTTGACGTAAACCAAAGTTAAGAGTTAAGAAAACTCGGTGTCTACCCTGAAATTTAGAGTGCACAGAAATTTTAATTCCTTACAAAACTCTACTAAATGCGCAACCTTTTTTTTTGATGGAAAATATAATTTTACTTGGCAAAAGAAAGCTTATATAGATTATTGAGCTAATCTATTTAGTGGACAACTAAGTCAAATATTCACCTAAAAGATAATTATCATATTTGAAAATTTTCATTGTCAAGATTCTGTATCTAGCTACTATTTTATTTTTTTTTTTTTTTTTTGGTGCCAACTTTGAGCTTTGAGTTATTAATGGTATCAGAAACATTTGAAAAAATTTAATTGATTAAGTGAAGAGTCAAAAATATTCTAAAAATTGTATATATATATATATATATATATATATATATATATAGTATAATTTAATGTGACACATAAGACCGCAATAACTTATTACTCAGTGCAAGAACTACAAACAAACGATTTATCAATATGTGCAGTAAGTCTATAAATTTTTAATGGGAAATTGCGAATAATCAGGCTTAGTAATATTTAAAAATAAACAACAAACGAATGAATATTTGATAAACAATTATGAATAACTAGAGAGCTTTCCCTGATTAATACAGCACCTTGGTACATTTATAACCAAGGAATGGGATACCATGGGATCTTAAGGTTCCCATATTGGGTTAACTATTCCGATCGCAATAGTATCTATATCAATATACATATTCACTAAATAGATTACAGTTCTTATAGTCATAAATTCTTTATTAATATAAAAATGTATACATAATAATCCAAAATAATATATAATAAATATATATGTATATATGTAATAACAATCTAAGCTTAAATCTAAATAACAATTATAAAAAAAAAATTATATTAAATAAAATTCTACCAATGCAGTTTAGTTTAATCTTTAATTTAACGAACTCATATCCTCCGAAAAATGTCAGCGATTTCTCTTTTATGGCATGCATAAATTAATTTAGGTAACCTTTTCTTGTTTTTCTGCACGATGGACAGTATTTTGTTTATTTCAGCTGGTTAAACTATTATTTTTATTTGCATTTTGAATTTGAATTTTTCGATTTGGTTTTTGTTTATTTTGTGCACGTCTAATTAACGCCAAGTTCACATTTGCATATAACACAAATGTTGAGGGGAAATGGGGTGAGGATGTGAGGCAACAATGCGAACAACAAATGAAAATCAGAATGGAATTTTGCTTTAATTGCAAAAAGCCAAAATGTGAAAACTATTTTGCACAATTTTTGGAGCAGGTGGAAGTGCCAGACGTGTTTTACAAATTACCACGAACTAAATTATTGTTATCTGTTCATGTTACCTGTTGTTGTTGTGCTTGTTGTTGTTGTTGTTGTATGTTTTGCAACATTGGCAAACTGAACATTAAATAAAATTAATAATTATTATACAATGCATATGTATGTATGTAAGTTCGTATAGGCATGACTCACGCGAATTAATTGACTTTTAATGTTTTATGGAGGCTGCCGCCGGCCAATTACATTTTGCCTTTGCAATTGGCTAGTGTTAAAAATGACCACACGAACTTGTGCAAATAACTACAAATTATTTTTACTAAATATAATCAATGCTATCAAGGTGCTGTCAGTTGTTAACCATTCAACAGAATGTGTGTTGCGTGACAAGCTGAACGGGTAAAACAAACAAACAAATATTTACGATATATTAAGATGTAATTGTAACTATCGATCTATATCGAAATATATTCGAAAAATCACGAACAATTAAAGAAAATAATAAATTAATATGTTAAATAAATATATATAGGAATATATCTACAATAAAATGAACTAAAATCGATATTAAAATATTTTGCAATCAATTCAGCTTTAATTTGATATATACTTTACATATTCTCATATTTATATCGATTAGCAATTCGTTTGCCGATCAAATGATTGCAATAAAATATATGGGTATTTACAATCTGTTTAGATAAACTTACAGACACACACCTTCACATATAGACAAATTGTACAAAGTCCCTTTTGTCAGAGTTTTGCGTGCCTTTGCCCACATTTTTTCTCTTCATTTGCTTTTCACATGCGCACTTTCTTTGATCCTTTGATCACACACAGGATAAAATGACAGTTCCACTCATCATTTTTCCCATTCCTCTCTATATGCCCCACACTTTCTCACAAGCACACACACACGCACAGACACAACAAACTGCCAACGGCCATAAAATCTGTAGCTGAAAAACTAATTCATTTCAGATTTTAATTCATTAGATTTTTTCTTCCTTTTTTTATTTTTTTTTAAATGGTTGCGGCCAGGAGAACGACACAGTCTTTTGTCTCGTTGCCTTGCTGGCATTTTAGCTGCGGGGGCAGCCATCAACCCCACCAGCCCCCCAACCCTTAGTTTTTAAAAAACGATGCCGACAAACTGCATACAAAAGCTGCAGTAGAATGTCAAAGTGGTATGCAAAAGCCGTCATGGTATGCGCTGTATCATGTGTGCATCTGTGTGTGCAGCAGCTGTGTGTGTGCGTGTGTCTGAGCAGTAAATTACTAGTAAATCCAGCGTGTGCACTCAAGCCACCATTTATTTTAACTGCCAGTCGCTAAGTAATTGAATCAAGTTTCTCCAGCTCTCTTCCAAAAAGTATGCAGCCCAACTTTAAGCGGGAGTCTAGTATGAAGAACAACTTTAAAAGAACACAAAACTTCTCGTTCCTTTTTAAATTGTTTTAAATTTTTGAGTCTAATGCAAAATTGTTATATTGTATTATAATATTATATTCTATTCATTAAGTCCAACTAGTGAAATATAATTTCTATATATTGAATCATTTGCTAAGGCTCCTGTGTGACAGCTGTCTTTTTACACTCAATTTGACTAATCAACTCTTGGTAGACTCTTATGCACAAAAAATAAAGAAAGAAGAATAACAGCGACTTAAATAATTCAACTTAACGCTTGAGAGCTGGCAAACAATTTCCTACATCATTTCACTTTTTCTCCATGTCTCTCAGACTTGCATGCGCATATTTAAATTAGATGAGGACGAGACGAAAAGTTGAGCAGCTGCCAACTTCATTTCCAATGCAATTTAACTAATCGTGCATGGCAAACGAACAGTTATATGAGCTGGAGGGGGGACACATTGCGTATACGCAATGGGAAATGTGCAATGCGAAGCTGGCGTTGGTTTAATTATAATTTACAAGGAAGTATATGGATTGCGCCGGTGAGCGGGTGTGTGTGTGTGTGTGTGTGTATGAATTGTCAGTAGCATGCGTGAGACATTCATAGCTTCATTAATAATAATTGTTGAAATTCCATAATCATGTATGATAATGCACATATGGGAGAGAATGGGAGGCTTGCCAGGCCATTTGGTCAGCTCCGCTTCGCAACATTTACTTTAAAATACGTGTGGCAGACAATGTGAAAATTATAAAATATAAAATAAAATCTCAAATCATCAAGGCAAAACTGCACGGCCAGCAGATGCCCTGTTAATTGTCTGATCATTATCTGAAATGTAAAGCCATTGTAAACACATTCAAAATATTGAATTTTTGAATTCGACAGTTAATCGACTTTGGAGATACGAACTAATTATCGATATCTACATTGTCTCGTCATATAATTCATTTCCTTTTTGAGGCCGTTAACGTCACCTTTAATCTGTTAACTGCATTTGCCCGACTACATTATACGCTCTATACAGGTTACAGGGTATTTAAAAACAAAAAAATAAGGAATATATGTGGCATCGTTTCGGTCGTTGTGTTGCGGTCTGTGTATCGCCTCGGAGCAGCTGTGGGCTGTAGTCGTTGCTACGCGTTGTGTATTGTAACTGATGTTGTTGTTGTTGCTGTTGTTGTTGTTGTCAACGCTGCCACAATGGCAACCGACTGCACATTGCACAAATGGCGTGGAAATTAAATTGTATTAAGTAATAAATGTTTAAAGCTTGTGCATTGTGCAATGTTAATGTTTATTGAGGTACGGCGGGGGAGCAGAGAAACTTTGCAGTTGCGGCTGCTTTTCCCTTACACTGCACTGTGGAACAAGCACATATAAATAAGCGTCAAATGTAGCTTACTTAAAGAGTTTAACTGTACCTTATTATTCATTTTATTATATTTTATAAAAATAAAAAATATAGCAAATTATCTGGTAGTTGAAAAAATGATATACAATAGGAATACCAAATGAAAGTTTACTCAATTGTTCAATAAAATATTTTCAAATACTGCACTTGACTTTCATTTAATATTGTTATATGAAAATCAGCAAATCTGGTAATCTACTGTAATAATAATTAATTTTTTGATTTACCCGACGTACAAGCTTCGAATATTTAACAAGAGTTCCCAATCTATTTAAAAATCTATGCCTGCACCACTATGCAATGTCTGTGCAGCTGCTCAGGGCATTAGCTTAAGGCTTTTACTGGCCCAGACACCAATTTGGCTTTGCCGAAGCCCATGGAGCAGATGTGGTGAGCAAATGGGTATTTCAATTGTGTTCGCAACCTCTCAGTGCATTTGTTGCTGTTAAAGCGAACATTTTGCTGGTAAACGCAGCTTTTTGCTCAGTTCAAAAATATAATCGAAAAATACATTAATTTTCCAATTAACTTGATTAACTAACTTGCATATATTTAAGCGATTG